ACTCTACTAGCACTAGAGTCAACAGGGACGATAAAACATTCCAGTATGACATTTTAATTGAGGCCTTGGATTTCCTTCGTTTTCTAGGTTCCTGAGCTCCTGCAGCTACCCACGGAGTCGTAGTGGTGAACGTGCTGTAGAGGTGAGACATTTCGAGATCGTTTTTGGCTACCTACTCCGAGTAAGGAAATCATATGATTCTGTATACATTGCGACGGTATAACAGAGCGACCACAAGACCATCCATCCAGTGAGACCGTCTGGCGATTTTCGCATACCGGGCAACCATATAATCCTGGGGTTCCGAGGCGGGTGCTGTATGCCAAGCCGAGCTTGTCTGACTGAAATTGGTGTCCACAACATCCTAGTCGGTTAGTGTAAACGCGTGGTCCTTCCGGTCTATGGAACTTTTAACTTGGGGTCCTCCGCTTGTCAAAAGAGGGGCTCCATGTAGTCTAGCGGAAAATTACCGATCTGCAGATACATCGGTCTATGCAACGGCATTCTATGACGAGTCATTGAACGACGGTCTGCAGGAGTGGTCAGATACATCAGATTGGTACGATTAATTATCAGAATCCACCGGCAATGGATTTCCGTGCCAGTCCTTGATGCAGCTGGCATCGGTATCGTTAAATACCCTACTATCATCAGATGCTGGATCAAGGCGAAAAAGGTCCTTTTAATAGCAATATTTAGAACGAGTCACGGCCAATTGATGCAAGTGACACCAAACGAACCGGGCCTCTCCTATCGTATATCCAGTAATTGAATGTATGGGTGTAAAGGCATTCACTGGAACCGGGTAAGGACGGATTACAACCTAAGCAGCCCTATGCAGGTAATGTTAAGGGGGGCACCGTCGATGTAAAAGATCGTGGCTTGGGCATCGGCCTTTGGCGTAACGGGCGGAATCGAAATCGTCACGATCATCCGCATGCTGAGCGGCTCATGTCAGAATCAGCGTCGCGCTACCCGTTAATGCGACTCCGGCTCCACGGCTCTAGCCCGTAGTAGCACTCGATCCTTCTCGGACCTTCGCAACTGGTATGCCACATTTTCTCCCACCGCTCGTGGCCTTTTGTAAAAAGGACAATGCAGCTAACGTTGGAGCTTGCAGGGTCCGGCTGTGGCTTGGGGCCAACACACGGGTTAAACCTTGAAGACTTCTCGACTGCCGGGAACTTTTGAAGCCTATCTAAGGGGTTTGATGTGGTTTGCGGGCGTTTGGCGATAATGGGGGATGCTTCAAGATGGGACAAATGGTGCCACTCACGGCGATTTGTCCTCTCTTACAGTAAGATCTATAAGTAGGTAGGCAATCACAATATCCTTTTGTGGTGCTGTGTCGTTGTGCCAGTAATACTTGTACGCAGGGCAGGAAAAGTTATAAATCATTGTATCAGTCGTACAAACAATATGGATTCCACCTATGTGTCTTTACTTCGTCGCCAGAGTCTCGCCTGGTCGTGTTCCACCTCACCTAGATCAGAGAACAGTCTCCTGCCCAGTATGCTAGCAAACGGAGAACACCACAGGAATACCATCCTGATAACTGGCTTGAACGGTTACCTAGCAGGTAGAACGGCCGAACTAATACTACGAGAAGGATACCGAGTTCGTGGCACCGTCCGCAACCAGGTAGCAGGAGAGAAGGTTAAGGCCGCTCTCTTGCAACTGGGCTACTGTTCAGACGACATCGACGTGGTCGAGATTCCCGACATGTGTCGGCACGGCTCTCTCGATAGTGCTGCCGCTGGTATGGAAGTAACTGTGTCCCAGATAGCGGAGTAGGTGCTGACCGATGTATTATAGGATGTATTGCGATTTTTCACCTCGCTTCACCACTTGCGGAAATATGGACACTCCCTCCCTCAGAGGTAGTTCGAATAACGACGGAGAGCACGGCGAGGGTTCTGAGCGCAGCAGAGAGAACCAGTGAGACCATGAAGAGCGTGGTCTTTATGTCGTCGGCCGCGGCCCTGTTCGACATCCCGTTGGAGGACCGGCTCTATACGGAAAAAGATTGGAACACGACGTCCGAGCAGATCCTCAAACGTGATGGAGATAAGGCGGGCGGTTTCCATGCGTATCTTGCTAGCAAGACTGCTGCGGAGAAGGCGTTCTGGCAATATCGGGATAGCCACAGACCCTCCTTTGGAATGACGGCTCTCCAGCCCACGTGAGCAGTTCCCTCACGTCGAGATATATCGAGTCAAGCTAACGCACGCGATAGGTACTTCATCGGGCCACCACTAATTCCCTGGGAAACCGCCGCGGATATTCCGTATTCCAACAGCGACTTCTGGAAAGTCGTGGCGGGCGAAGAAATACCCGGTCCAATGATGATTTACGGCGACACGGTCGACATACGAGACGTAGCACGGATGCTGCTGTGGTCGGCATTGCACCCGCCACAGTCCGACGGCCATCGTTTCGTATGCTCTACGTTCGTCGGCGGCGGCCAGGCTATCGCCGACATATTGAGCAGACGTATGCCCTCCCTGAAAATACAGCGAGGACAGCCTGGACAAGGATACTCGCCCGACTACAAGCCCCAAGCTGGTGTTGGCGGATTTGACTCCGGCAAGGCTGCTTCAGCTATGGGAGAGCAGTGGATCCCATATGAGGAGAGTGTTGTTGACATGGCACAGTTCCTACAGCGGTATCTCCCATGATCCTAAGTAAGTAGCCATGCTGCATGACGGAGAGTATGCGGGGCTCATCTTGGATATGTCAATTCTTCTCTCGCTGGGTTGCTTTCTGCTTTGTCGAAGTATGAGGCATACCGGCCCCTTGAGATAGTGCGGTGAATTCTATAGAGTGTGTTTGCAGAGGCGTTCAGGTATAATAAAATCTTCTTATTAATCAGTGTGACTAATACGCATGACCTATGTTCAACCTGCATTTGATTAACCTTGCGGAATCCCAAAATCAATAATCGTTCTTAACAATTAAACAGCAGATAGGCTTAAGAAATACTTGTTATAGGATGGAGCAAAAATTTCGCATGATTTCTTGCTAACCACATGTGCATATCTTTCAGAAAGGTAAGTTGGGTTCGGAGGCTCTATCTCGTAGTATCAAATGTAATCGCAGACTGAATTATAGACTGGATGTGCGATGTACTATGTAGACTTTCCAACCCGAAGCAAGCTCTTGGCGTTAGATACATTGATGGCCCGAGCGGTCGAAGCCACTACCATTCCTTGCTCACCACCCTGATGTGTATCAACAAGCTCACAAAAATTAGCCACTCAAGCACTCGTGAGCCAGTAATTCCCGGCCAGAACATCGCCAAGCTCCAACTTCTTCTCGAAAGTCTCCTCATTCCACCACAGCCGACTCGTCAACTTCACCTCCTCAGCAAGTCCAAGCAAGCTCCTGATCTTGGCAGCATCTAGCGCCTTCGGTTGCTCAAACACCAGGAAAACGTAGCGGTGTGCGGAGCTGGGTTTAGGCGGCCCCGGGGGCAGGTATGGAGCCAGCCAATCCTTGGGGCCCTCGAGCGGCGCGAAGCCGTCGCTGTCGGGGGTGCCAGGGACGAGGTCGATAAGGAGACCGTGCAAGATGGGGCCAAGGATAGAGAAGGAGGGGAATGGCGCGTCCAGATCGATGGAGACGGCAACATATTTGGTGCCGGGCTCCGACTTTAGTGCGCTTGCGGCGATGGATAATGTTGGCGTTGGCGTAGCATGAGGAATGCTGAGGTTGGTGCCGGCTGCCGTTACAGTGGCCTCGGGGAAGTGTAGGCGTAGTGTTGTAGCGCTCTTGGCAGCCGCGAGGGCCTTCTGTATACTTGGAGACTCTTTACCCATTGTGGAATCGTCGTCTCCTTTTTTTATCCGCTGCTGTATGCTGAAGTAGGGTAGGTATGGAGATAAGGAAGAGAAAAGGTTGACCATAAACAATTCACTGCCAGAAAAGTTTATACCGGCCGCTATCACTTTGACTACCCATCATTTTAAGGAGCAGCGGAGATAGTAAATAACACCGGAAGACCCACAGCGCCTATGCTATGTACTATGTAGGTACGCGACAGTAAAGGTCGGGAGATGCTGTCGCCTACGCACAAAATGTAACGCTGGTAATATGCAAGGACCTTACATATAGTCCAGTGCTTTCTGGAATTGCTGCCGAAGCGCACTCAAAGCGATTGGGTGAGCACTAGATACCCGACTCGGGCTGAGCCGTGATCGGCTCGGTCGATTATAATGCTTACTAGTGGTTCAGATACGGCATATAAGATCTAGCAGCTCATGCTGCACGTACCGCATAGGTGCCTTAGACCCTCTTCAAGTTCCTATTCCGGTAGTACATGCAAGGTATAGCTTATAACATCAGCCTATACTGGTATTGCATGCTTGCCAGACTCGTCGATTTTTTGGGCCGCTTCCTCGGCACAGGGTGTTGAACCGGGATCATAGATGCCACCCCCATTCCCATTGAATGAGGGCTTCGCACCGTACCAACCAGTTTATAGAGAACTCATTCTCTGCCATAACGGTGATAAACCCTCATGTTATACTGATAACAAAGGTGGGACAGGCTTCGAAATTCGGAACCGATTCGGCAAAATAGCCGTCACGGAGCCGGGGAACCATGGTTGGGATCGTCGAGTTATCTCTCATTATACGAACCATACATACTAAGCCAGCCTGAAAGACACAAGCGGTAGTCACCGGACCCATTTTATGGCCTATACGAGCGCTATACGAGGTGTTGCGACCGTCACATAGTTATCGTTATCTATGGATTGGAAGGGATTTAATGAGCGATTTCATATACTGTAGCAGTAAGTGGTGGTATTTGGTGTTGGAGGAGAGATGGAGTAATTGACAAAAACAGCTACAGAGAGAGGCGCTTAAATGGATTGTTGCCTCGTACCTTCCGAAACAGCACATGCGTTATTGTTAACGTCGTTATAACTTCTTGAACGAAATGGAGAGTGATAATATAATGCATAACAGCCAAGCCCACACAATCACGTGGAAGTTACCGCCCTGGTAGCTCAATTGGTTAGAGCGTCGGACTTTTATAGGACTGTCTTATAACTGGATATCCGAAGGCTGCGGGTTCGACCCCCGCCTGGGGCGCAATATTATTTTATAACATTTTATTTCATTAATATTTTTTTAAATCGTTCTCTACTGTCTGTTTATTCTTAACCGGGCTTGTCCTACGTGGCGATAGATAGACAAATTGTATATAATACTTAATGTAGACCTAAAGCCAGTTAGCCCATGTGTTAGTTGGAAAGAAAAAACCCGTGGTAACTACTTAGCTAGCTTCGCCCTCCACCCGAGATAGTGTTGAATGACGGACGATCTTATTTTGACAGTACCGCCGCATAGTAGGAAGAGGCATAGTGAATGAACATTCTCTACAAGATTCCAATCAACAAGCAAAAGGAGCGCCGCCGATCGGTCTTACGCGCAGGTGCCTATCTTCTTCTTTCATATACTGCTAACATAGCCATATGACGGGCCCCTTAGCAACGCCGTCAAACCCATAAAGAGTAGTCGAAGGATATCGGAGGTTAGAATCACGTAACTAGCTAGCTCAAAGGTAAATAAGCCTCCTTCGTGAAATTGTTGATTTGTTCATTCACTTCGCCAGAGCTCAATACTTACTTACATGTCTGGTTTGGCTCTATTATTATGTGATGACACAGACTTTGCCTTGACGAGTTGTTAGATCCATACAAGCACGAATAAAGCCCCCATAGATAATTGCTTGTCATCACGATATGTAATACAACCGAACAAGAGGGGATAGCGTCTGGTTCGCTCCACGTGATCACGCGTTAGGGTATCATACAACCATCCTAGGTTCTCCGATCGAGAACTCCATATAAACCCCGCCTAGGGAATCCTTCCGGCGATGTGAGTAATAGGATGCGCGGATATCTGGGCTCGGCGTGATTTATAGGACCGTCCTCTTCCTTTCCCGTACGCCTTGGCACCATCTTCATTTTCTCTCGCTATAAACCATCCGCTTCACTGCAATGTTGTCAGCAAGAGGAGCGCGCTGGGCCCAGATTGGCTACGCCCACGGCGCACAGAACCGCTACCACGCGGCAAAGAAGCCTCAAGGTGCGGTGAGCTTCGATGATGCAGAAAATGTACTGTGGTAAGCCGGGAAGGGAATATGAAGCTTTGGTACTAACGGGCTTCAGTGGCTTGTGCACTCTGACCTGACACGCTTTATCAACACACTCGTGAGTTTAGAATTCCCGTTTGACAAGCCGTAGCTATAGCTAATGTAAACCATAAGGACTTCGACGAGCCATGTCGCTCTTATGGCGAGGGTTACACCGGCAATTTACGGCTTCGGGAGGCGATGGCGAACCATAGTGAGCATTTCTCGCAACCATCCTCTTCTTGTTATGGCAACTTTTAGAGTACAGGCTTTCCTTTTGGGCCCAAGACAGTGCCCAAAATCTTCTGAAGCCCTCACAAGTCACGCCCGAAATGGCGATAACTGACCCGGAGGGTTCTAGTGAACAAGCATTTCGAGCCCGCAAGCCCGATTGACGCCGAAGAAATCACTTTCGCCGCCGGCGTAACTGACCTTAACGAAGCCTGTGCGTTAGTCACCTGAAATCCGGATGCCGGGGAAACCATTATGCTGGGTAGGCCGGTGTATGGCGCATTCTCCCGTGATCTCAGCATGCGTACGGGGTAGGAAGCACGCTCTTCCTATCACGCTAGCAGTTCTGACTCTGCTTTAGTGTGGACCTGGAGTATGTCTCGGTAGGCAATACGGACCAGTTCACGCCCGCATGTGTCGTGGCTTTTGAAGCTGGATACGAAGAAGCTAGAGCACGCGGCAGGAATATCAAAGCACTGATAATATGCAATCCCCACAATCCTCTTGGTGAGTCAGCAAAACCAGTGCTTGAAATGCCGGTATACTCAGATCTTGGCTAGGCCACTGTTATCCTCGGGAAGCACTTATCGGTCTTCTACAGCTTTGTGCTCGAAAGAAGATCCATTTGATTAGCGACGAGATCTATGCCCTTTCTGATTACAATAGAACTGACCGGCCGTCCGAGGTGTTCACTTCAGTACGATCAATCGACTTCTCGGGAATCATTGATCCCAAGTTGGTTCACATCCTCTATGGGATATCTAAGGTATACCACACCAACCAAATGTCGTGCGTCATCTGTGGTTTGACAAGCTCTGTAGGACTTCGGCGCTGGTGGGATGCGCCTGGGATGCATAGTATCATAGAATCGCGACTTCACTAACGCCATGCGGTCAATCTGTCGGTTTTCTTCGCCATCACAATTTTCCATGGAGATCGCAGTTATCTTTCTCGAGAACCAAGAATTTATACGATAGTTTACAGAGAAGTCAAACGCTCGGTTGCTTCACCATCGGCTGGTGGCCGAGTCGCTTCTTTCCCAAGCTGGCATCGGTTTCCACGACAAGGGGTACGTAACCAATGACTATGTCCCGCATGACTGTGATACTGGCCGGTAGCATGTTATTCCCTGTGAGATTTTGAAGTGCATCTCGCTATTAACGTGTCAGCCCAACAGGAATGCCGAGTTGTTCATATGGCTAGACTTGAGCCCTTTTCTGCCTGTTAAAGAAACGAACGGAGATGGCTGGTCGGCGCAGAAACTGTTGTTAGAGCGGCTAGAACAGGCCGGCGTATCGATGTCGACAGGCGAGAGCTATCGAGCTCCTGACCTAGGCATGTTTCGTATCATATTCTCGCTCGATGAGGAGAGTTTGAGAGAAGGCATTCGAAGGTGAGTAACATAGCTTTAGCAAGGTCACATTGTGTGTTGTTCGTCGCTAACGGCCGATTTGTAGAATATCTCGTGTAGTTTCAGGTGCCTCTGTAGAGTAGATACACTTATTACAATAGGCAATCAATGATTGAATGTTCCATGGGAGAATATAATGGTGCTCGGCAGTACACTTTACCAATGTAGGTAACGGAAGGGCCTCAGTTGGTAGAACACAGACACATTTAACTATGCAATCTTAAAATATACCCAATTCCGAGTTTAAAATTACTCATGATCTAAGCGTGGTTTTATAGGGCGAGGCGGTTCGTGACCGGCAACTACCTAATGAGTTAGATGCTGTCAGATTATTTTTGTGTGTCGGCCTGTAATAATATTTCTTTTTGGCCAAGATATGGTGTCCTCCAAGAGGCTCTAGGGGGCAAGGGTAGTGATGGTTATGAGTTCTATCACCTCATTGACCTGCCACAATAGAGTATCCTTACGAATAAACACTTAGGCCGATGATGTAATATCTAATCACTCAGCGGGAAGGCAACGGGTGGTGGTTTGAGAGCAACTTGCATTGGGCGAGCATGAGCAGCTAAAGGCCTAGGTAGTTGGGCGTACCAGCGAACTACCTAGGTCTAAAGCTACCTAAACTTAAAAAAAAAAACACCCAGTGAAATCCTCCCTTCCATTGCCGTTTCTTTCTATCCATCTTCCATTCGTGAAGCATCTTATAAATGTAGCGGGGGCTTGGAAGGATATTCAAATTGTAATAATCTTCCAGGTCGCCAAGGGGAGCTACGAAGGTCTCGTCACCTCTCCAGCCAGCTAGGAGGTCTGGAGTCTATATATCTGAATAGCCTCGCGAATAGTTGCTGACCTTCCCTTGTATTACTGTCTCGGCCAATCAGGTGTTTGATTAGGCAAACATGGGTGGTGGTACGAGCTGAAGCCTCACACGAAGTCTCACACTTGTAATTACATATATGATACGCAGGCCTCCAGTCTCTGATCTGGATCCAACCTGTCGGTACGTGCAATAATAAACGTGAAATTCATGAGAACCCACTCTGTCATAGCTGTGTTGTCCGTTGTACCAGAGACATTCTCCACAACTATATCACGAAATAGCACCTTTTCACCACGTAGACCATACGGGGTCTTTTTGAGGCAATTGCTGAACGTATTAACGGCAGAACAAGGCGGTGGTGAATGGGAGGGTTTCCGCTTTGTACACTACAACTAAAACAACATATGGATGTTTCCAAGGAACATAGATTAACCCTGAACAAGCAAGAGTTGTACAATAATCCGGGTCAGAATGCAGGGGATACCCTTGAACGTTTAAAAGGGAGCGATTGTAATATTTTAAAACATCGTAGATATGGGTTTATCCGTACATATTTAAGAAAAACTGAATTAACGTAGTGGTCCAGATTGCCAAAACCGGCAAGCCATAGAAGAATTACCGCTGTGTTTTATTTTACGCAAGGTATACAAGACTCTTGCACTATCTCTACGCAATATGTAGGTACTCTGTACTGGAATATTGAGGCCTGGCGCGAAACTCGCATTCCGGTGCCGACTATCGGAATAGAAGATCGATAAAAGAAACGTTATTCCGGTAGTCCTAGATCGTTCAACCGTGAAGAAGTCATAAACTTCCCCACTCTGATATGGTTCATGTGAGGTGGGTGGTTGGATAATAGCCCGACGTCGAGTGGACCGCGGGTATCTAGATCACCTGCACAAAGGGCGGGAGGGGTTCCTCTGCATGGGGTGCCAACCACAACTGATGGCCAAGGAAGCAAACAGGGGTTTCCATCCGATCTTTAGCGCCAATGTTAACATAAAAACCGTATAACCCAAGATCGTACCTGATGGTATTACCAAAGGGGGGAGGTGTTGTCCAGGTTACATAGGCCATTCAATGGCGCCATAGAGAATGGATACCCTGGGGTTCGGTCCGCGACTTGGGGGACGTGTATGGGTTTCCCATTTCGTGCTCTTGTTGCAATAATACGTGACCAAGATACCACCACCGAGTTGAGAAAAGCGAATCGGACCAAACCGTCCACAATTGCTCAGCCAAACCCCAGATACAACACTCCAAAGGTACAAATACCGCCGTCGTCCCGCGGTGGTGTGTGTGTTTGTTGAACTGGAAGCCGGTTCTGCTTAGGTGCATTTTTACGATCGCCAACCGCCGCTATGATGCTGATCACAGTTGTTCTCGCTTACTTAGCCCTTGCGGGCATGGGCGTTGCAGCATCTACTCAGCCGAACATCGTGTTCATCATGACCGATGATCAAGACCGGCGTCTCAATTCTTTGGCTCACATG